TGCGGAGGCAGGCGAAAGTATAAACAAGGCAGCGCGAGTTTCCACAAACAGCGCGTGCACCGCTCCAAACGGTCGAGGCGTTTATACTTGACGCGCTCTCCGTTGTACTATTCCTTGAAACGACAGGGGACGACTCAGTAACTGTCCTCTAACCATCAGGAATCGGTGAGAAGAAGACAGATAAATACATGACAATGTTTATTTTTTAGTATTCCACCACCAATACAAAAATAATCATGTAAAACCCAGTAAACCCTGAGATTATTACTTGTGACATTACAAAAAAATAATGTATATGGGAACATGTATGTATAGAACTAAATTAATGCTCTCTTAAATATTTTCTACATTCACTAAACATTTTTCATTAAGTTTCATGTACATTTGTATTAAACATGGACCATTGTTCATTTAAAAAGGCTTTTTATGCTATTGTATGCAAAATTTTTCAAATGTAATTTAAAATGTAAGCGCTCGGCTTTTAGAGAGAACATTTCATTTTAAAACCTTTCTGCAGGCCAGTAGATTATTATTTAGTGTACACATGAGTGGGGTCAAGTTAAACATTTTAGTTTGAATTTTATTTTATACTGTGCATTGTGCTAAATAAATATTTGTATAATTTGTAATTGATTTATTCTTTGAAAATGTTATTGTTATTAATTTATGCAATTGCAAAGCCTTGATTTTCGTAAAATTTGTACACAGTCATAGCCATAAACAACCTGGTCTCACAGGATTCCGTGAAATGTCCACGGGCCCTTAACTCAAAATCCGTGGAAACATCACGGAATCGCCGCGAATTCCGTGATGCGGCCACGGATATAACTCCAACGCAAGTCAATGACACTCACTTTCCGTGGTCCACACACGGATACCCGTTTGAATGACGGAGTACAGATCTCACCCAACGGACGTGCTTTCTCATTTGGAAACGCAACATTTGAAGAGTTATAGTTTCTTTTCCAACAATAAAAGCCATAATGACGTTAACCTCTTTATTACAGCTATTGCTCTGTCCTGCCGTCATACAAATTCAGTCTGTTTCAGTTAACCGATGTCCCGTGATGGCACCACGGACCTCAACGACCTCATGGACGTTGTAATGTGGCTTGTTTAGAAACTAAGCTTGTCTACTCTATTACAATAATGGCATGTAATTAACTTGACGTTTTGTCTCTTCCTCATAAAATCCATTTTGATGGCGTTTACACCTATTTCTCGCTTGGCTACGGTCAGAACTAAAATCTGTGATAGCGGCACGGAGTGAGTCTGTGCTGATACCACGGATAACTCCAGCGCAAGTCACACTCATCTTCCGTGGTCCACACACGGATACCCGTTTCAATGAAAGAGAACAGATCTCACCCAACGGACGTGCTTTCTCATTTGGAGACGCAACATTTGAAGTATTAGTTTATTTTCCAACATCAAAAACCATAATGACATTGTTATTGTTGCACTGTCTTGCCATATTCAGTTCATTTAGCCTAACCGATGTCCCGTGATGGCACCACGGACCTCAACAACCTGACCTCATGGACGTTATAATGTGGCTGGCTTCTTTAGAAACTCAAGCTTTATGTCGACTATTACAATAATGGCATGTAATAACTTGAAGTTTTGTCTCGTCCTCATAAAATCCAGTTTGATGGCGTTTACACCTATTTCTCTCAGCCAGAACTAAAATCTGTGATAGCGGCACGGAGTGAGTCTGTGCTGACACCACGGATAACTCCAGCGCAAGTCAATGACACTCTTCCGTGGTCCACACACGGATACCCGTTTCAATGAAAGAGTACAGATCTCACCCAAAGGACGTGCTTTCTCATTTGGAGACGCAACATTTGAAGTGTTAGTTTATTTTCCAACATCAAAAACCATAATGACATTGTTATTGTTGCACTGTCTTGCCATATTCAGTTCATTTAGCCTAACCGATGTCCCGTGATGGCACCACGGACCTCAACAACCTGACCTCGTGGACGTGAATGTGGCTGGCTTGTTTAGAAACTCAAGCTTTATGTCGAATCTATTACAATAATGGCATGTAATTAACTTGACGTTTTGTCTCGTCCTCATAAAATCCAGTTTGATGGCGTTTACACCTATTTCTCGCTTGGCTACGGTCAGAACTAAAATCTGTGATAGCGGCACGGAGTGAGTCTGTGCTGATACCACGGATAACTCCAGCGCAAGTCACACTCATCTTCCGTGGTCCACACACGGATACCCGTTTCAATGAAAGAGAACAGATCTCACCCAACGGACGTGCTTTCTCATTTGGAGACGCAACATTTGAAGTATTAGTTTATTTTCCAACATCAAAAACCATAATGACATTGTTATTGTTGCACTGTCTTGCCATATTCAGTTCATTTAGCCTAACCGATGTCCCGTGATGGCACCACGGACCTCAACAACCTGACCTCATGGACGAATGTGGCTGGCTTCTTTAGAAACTCAAGCTTTATGTCGACTATTACAATAATGGCATGTAATAACTTGAAGTTTTGTCTCGTCCTCATAAAATCCAGTTTGATGGCGTTTACACCTATTTCTCTCAGTCAGAACTAAAATCTGTGATAGCGGCACGGAGTGAGTCTGTGCTGACACCACGGATAACTCCAGCGCAAGTCAATGACACTCTTCCGTGGTCCACACACGGATACCCGTTTCAATGAAAGAGTACAGATCTCACCCAAAGGACGTGCTTTCTCATTTGGAGACGCAACATTTGAAGTGTTAGTTTATTTTCCAACATCAAAAACCATAATGACATTGTTATTGTTGCACTGTCTTGCCATATTCAGTTCATTTAGCCTAACCGATGTCCCGTGATGGCACCACGGACCTGCAACAACCTGACCTCATGGACGTTGTAATGTGGCTGGCTTGTTTAGAAACTCAAGCTTTATGTCGACTATTACAATAATGGCATGTAATAACTTGAAGTTTTGTCTCGTCCTCATAAAATCCAGTTTGATGGCGTTTACACCTATTGCTCGCTTGGCTATGGTCAGAACTAAAATCTGTGATAGCGGCACGGAGTGAGTCTGTGCTGATACCACGGATAACTCCAGCGCAAGTCAATGACTCATCTTCCGTGGTCCACACACGGATACCCGTGACGGAGTACAGATCTCACCCAACGGACGTGCTTTCTCATTTAGAAATGCAGCATTTGAAATAGCCTTTTCACTTAGATATATGCCATGTTAACCTGGCGGCCTATGTTGTTCTGCCATTATAAAAAATCAGTTTGATTCTGTATTTAGCCTAACCAAAGTTCCCACTCACTGAATGTTTTAATGAACTTGCTCATTTAAATTAATTCATCAGGTCAACTCTGTTATCCTAATGGTAATGCAGCCTAATTAACTAGACATTTGCCCTAAAATTCAATTTGATCACGTTCTCCAAATCGCAGGAAAAATGCCTTATCATTATCTACCACGGATCTGGAATGGATCTGTGGTGGACTCACGGACTTGGTCTCGTTCTATGCGTTGCTTTTGTTTGCTCATTTAGAAATTTGAAAACTTCAGGTCGACTGTGTTAATTAATGTGTTCCATTGCTATTAAGTTTGGAATTAAAATGTCCAAAACCATGGATTTTTATTTTTAAAAGTTTTATTGTGTAACAATATTAAATATTGTTAAACTGATATTATTATAGGCCTAGGCTACTCCTTTTAACATAAAATGCAGGCTTATTAGGATTCTTTGTATTATTTTTATTAATTAATATTCAGAAAATTATGTCATTGCTGCGACGCGTCATAGGTCTACTTCCTCATGCAGGCTACATCCCAGAATTGCGCCCTTTTTCCTATTTTGCGGTCGACGTTCACAGTCAGCAGATCGGTAAGTAACGCTAAAGCTTGTGTTATGTGAATTGTTGATTCATTCGAAGCAAATGTAAGACTAAGTTAATTGCTATCAAAAGCCTACCTATCTTTTTTTTTTTTTTTTTTTTTTTTTTTAACACCAGTGTCGGTTGCACAGGGCCCTGTAACGTTAATCCTGTTAAGTTCGGTGTTAATTTCTCCATAATTGCTAGGAGTTCAAATTGCATTAACTACGTACCCAGTGTATGCAACGTTTCTTGCTAGCTAACGTTAGTCATGTAGAATATCTTAAGCTTTTTACTTATTATTTTTTTTTTTTTATACAGTATAGGCCTATATGTATTTTAAATATAGGCTATGTGTTGAAATGCATTGCAACGCGTTGCTCTATGTTTTACTGTAGGCCTAGTACTGGTATTTGTAGCTTGTAAAATCGAGGACATCACCGTGCCCTGCGCAAGCCACAGCTAAAATCTTGGGTCATTGCGATGAGTGGTCAGTTATATGCGAGGGACACCATACTCACAGACAGACGTTTATTACTTAAAATCTTTGTCAGCATAATTTTATTTGCCAATAGGCTGCTAGTGATTTAGTTAATATATGTAATTTCAAGAGCAACACAAACAGAAAACCAAATAATTCCAAGGGGCTCACAATATTTTGATTTTGACTTAAGCAATAGAACATGTAAAAGATAAAGAGAAAAAAAACCCAAAAGGGTAAAAAAAAAAAACAGCCCAAAAACAGGTTGATTGCATCAAAGACTTATGCATGTCGATGTGGCCAGATGGCATTCTCAACCACAGTATTGCCAATCAGCAATTTGTCGGTTCACAAGAAAGTTAAAGTCATGTCGTGAATGAATTTCATGTAGAAATGAAATGCGAATTTCATGTATGAAATATGCATGTAGAAATGTTTGTTCTAATGGTCATTCTAATAATAATTTCTGTCTGTTACAGATACAAGACAGCTTTACCAAAAAAAGGCACTTTTAAGAGCCATTCTTTCACATTTTTTATATTTATCTATTTCTGTCTCTTTCTTGTCTCTCTCTCTCTCTCTCTCTCTCTCTCTCTCTCTCTCACACACACACACGCACACACACACACACACACACACACTCTCTCTCTCTCTCACACACACACACATTCACTCACTCATACTTACTCATACCATAACTCATATTTCATACAGTAAGTATCCCAAGATTTTTATTTTCTACACAGCACAAGTTTAGGTTATTTAAAGATAGTCTTGTATTTTGTTTCATTATAATGATGTATGATTTGTATTTTTGCTGTAGGAACAGCAGGTCACATAGTGTTATGCTAGATACCCTGGATTGGTTACACATATCAGTCGCGACATAGCTGAAATTTTGTCTATTACATGATAATTGTAAGATAATTGTATTGGAAAGACAAAGTGTTTTATGGAAACCTTCACAACTCTTGCAGTTAAGGAATTTATATTTTTATACAATGGTTATTCCAATCATCCTTTTCTTTTGTATGGTTTACAGAATAACAATGCCTGGTGGAGGGCTGAAGAAGTCGTGCCCTGCATGCCTACAAAAAATTTTTAATGGATGCAAGGTCTGCCCCTTGTGCAAGGCAGCACAGCCGCAACATATAAGGCTGAAAAAAAAAATGGACAAATTCAAGATGGAGAAGGAGTCTTGGGTGTGTAAGACAAAGAAAAATCAATTAACGTCTCATTTATTGGATGATGCCGTTATTTTGGTAAGTAACTTGTTCTGTTACCATAGTACTAGTGGCTTCAAAATTACCTTGGTCCAGGTGGTGACACAGGTGGTGTGTTACATTACAACCGACTATTCTTCTATTCTACTTATGCTATAGATGTACTCACATAGACCATGAGTTGATTCACACGTTAGGTTAGCAGATATTTTCAGTTGCACATTGTATGAAACTTAATAAAGGCAATTGATTGATCAGTTTCAGGATCGTAACTTTAAACTATTATAATTGGAAAAGTGTAAAGAAACAGGCAAGAAACAGCCAGGTTCACCTACAGTAGGTGATAGCCCGCAGTTCTGTAACACACGTCAGCTCTCCATATCATCCACAGTTTACTCTTCCCTACTGAGTGGTTCATGCCCAATTATGTAAGTACATAGCGTTCACTTGCGTGTTCTTCTTCTTCTTCTTCGAGTCTGTTGCAACCTTAGATGTCATTCTGTCACTATCTGGTCACAGCTGATGGGGTCATTTCAGCTCGGTGCTGGGGGTGGGGTCATTGTCTGTACAGCTTTACAGCTGCATGTGTCTTCTGTCTGGTGGTCCCGTGCTTTCCTGCTGTTCCACTCGTAGTCTGTTGAGGGTCTTCCAGGTTAGCCACCCTGGTGGGACATTCAGTAGGGGTGATTCCTCTCTCCATCCAGTCCTGGGCTTGTGTATGTAGCTGGTTCCATTCATCTTTACAGATGTTGTCCATGCTGTTTCTTTGGTTGTCTGGAGGTGGGACTGTCTGCAGGAAACTGGATCTGGATTTCAGTCGTGGTGGAGGTGCTGTCTGTCCATGAAGGGGGTGCAAGGTGTCAAACTCGTGTGTTCTCCTGTGCTGTCTTGGGCGACGATGGATCATCTTATGTGGGGAGCGGGGATGGGAGGGAGCAATGCCAGCTAGGTGTAGAGGCACGGGCCTGGCGTTGTCTCTGTGCATACCGTGATAATGCGGCAGGTATTGTTGAGGGCTGTGTCAATCAGTTTGGTGTGGCGGGAGCGGCTCCAGTTTGACCACGCATATTCAGCTGTAGGGAAGCACTGACTGGGCCCTCAACCAAGACATGCTGCTACCATCCGACTACATTACTGAGTGAGATTCTCTCATTGCACAGAATATGATGTGAGTTGTGTGTAAGTCAGTGCGATGTGTGGTAGACCAAAAACTTTTAACCAATCTCTTAGTAGGGATTTTTACATGAAGATGCTCTTGGAGGCTTATAGTTTCAATTCAATCATGCAATCATCTGTAAAACTGTAAGCCAGATAAGAGTGCATCATGCACATGATGGAGACAGGCACACCAAACCCACCCACATATACTCACACCTTCCCCACATCCTCAATGTATCATCTGTTCTATATATATATATATATATATATATCAGCTTATGTATACATCAGCTCTTCCATAAGTTAAAAAGTGTGCATCTGAAACATACTGTTGTGGAGCTGGTGTCTGTTACACATAACACTAGCACAGTTTTATCGTAGACATAAAGCCCTTATTATTGTTTATAGAGTATGTTTTTTTTTCTTTCAGATTGAGAAGCTGAATGCAGTGGGCTGGAGGCCCATGCTTTTTCTTGAGTACCCGAACCAAAGAGTCAAGACGCTGCTGCCGGAGGGGCTCAAATTGAGTGCAGGGGAGAAAATATGCGTTGACAACATGAATACTATCTACAGCATGATAGTTAAAGGTCATTCCACATTTTCTATACACAACGCATTCTCACCCCAAGGCGTCACCTTTGACCATGCTTCAATATTTGACGTTTTAGGCGCCTTTTAGCGTCACTTACATGACGCGATCCTACGGCGTCATCTAACTGACGCTAAAGGAAAGCGTCTGTTAGAAGACGCGGTTAGGTTTAGGTGTGGGGTGGGGGTAGGGTACACGCGATCCTAGGGCGTCAGTTAGGTGACGCCTTGGGGGTGAGAATGGGCTGCTATAGATTATAACATCTTTAAACAATCCAAATTCAGAAAAATTCAGGACATTTTAAAAACTAAATGACATCAAATAACAAATTCACCTTTCACATTTTGACCTAATTACATTTTGTATATTCTTTGTGTTCCTTGTATTCTTTCAGGAAATACAGTGCCGGCAGACCCTTCAACTGAAAGTCTGCAACTTCCAGAACAGGAGACTGTTGTTGTCTTACATTTGGAGACTATTCCAGACCCTCCACCTCAACAAGGTGTGCTTAGTATAGCTTTATCGTTATCTTTCATATTTTTATGACAGTGTTCTTTACCAGCATATTATTATCATTATTGTAGTATGTTATTTAGGCCTGGGTAAAAATTATAGATTTATCAATTTTAATCGATTCTCATATTTAAGAAAAAATATTGTTTCTAAAATCCCAAGAATCGATTTGTCATCCGGTTTTCAGTTGATGAATGAATAGAACATTGTTTTGCGCATCTAGGAGACAGTAGAGAAAGAAATCTCTGATGACCGAGGCACTCCTTAATCAAAATGTCTTTATTGAACAAATGACAAATGAAATTTAAAAAGCCCACGCATAGCGGCATGGAGCCTTTTCAGGGCATGGTGACAAGGCATTGTTTTGCGCATCCCATACAATAAATGGCAATAATCTTTGTGCTTTGTTATTATTTATATGAAACAAAGTCTCAGATTTTAAATTCCGTTCATTTTCTTACGAAATTCAAAAACACAATTACCATTTTGCCGCTGTGGCGTGAGATCGCTCTGGCGCAGCTCAAGAGAAGCAGCAGAGTGGACCACACGTAACCTTCTCTTCCGCCTTAATAATAACGGTTACAGCGCAAAATAAACATGAATGAGCTTCTGAAAGTGTGTTAAAAGATAGAGTACAACTTATTAAAGTCTGTGTCATGTCACATGGAATCACTCAATCAGTGTTTCAACCGTGGAAAGATGTCATTTAAACAATCTCATGTAACGTCACATTTACCTCCGAAAAAACATATCCAGCGACCATAAACTCGTTAGTCAGCTAGAAAAAAATGTACTCTAGAGAGGAGAATTTTGTTAAATATATGCACCATATTACATATTCATTGATATTGTTAATGTTCTTCAATATTTAATGCATGTTTGAATACATCTGGAAAGTTTTTTATGACAGCCACCATTAAAATTTTGGTGATTGGCACTGAGTCTGACTCTGTGTTGTGTTTATTTTAGTCTTAGAAGCGTTGAAGTGGAAATTAAGGCAGCTTGACAGGTTGGCTCAGAGGCTCTGTAATAGGTTTATTACAGAGTTGTAGTACAGCAGGATACAGACTTAAGTAGAATAGTCTATAATAATGGTGGTTGATGGCTCTAGAGAAGCTCTCCTCGGCAGTCAAATCATCTTCTCAACGAACCAAAAGGTCCGACCAGTGTTATACAGAAAGATAGTCATAAATAACTAGAACAACAGGTGCCGGAACAGAAAGATCTAGGAAAGGGTCCCCATTGATAAGGCATAGGCCAATGCTACATCTGACAACAGAGTGCTCGGCACCGGCAAGGTAACCCAAAGTCCCACCAAGTTGCAATGATCGAAAGTGATCAGTTTGTTGTGCTTAGCCTAGTTATTTGCTCTTTAACTTTTCGTGCCTTCTTTTACGTTTTTGTAGAATGAGCTTGATCAGCCACACGTCTATATCTGACCTTCTTGCATATTGTATATTCTGTGTCTACTCTTTAGTTGAAGCTCTTCTGCCAACCAGCCCTGCCACCGACACCAATGAGGGGGGACAGATTGAGACAGGTAACCCAAAGTCCCACCAAGTGGCGATGATCGCACCAAAATTTGTTGTGCTTAGCCTAGTTAATTGCTCTTCAACTTTTCGTGCCTTCTTTTACGTTTTTGTAGAATGAGCTTGATCAGCCACAAGTCTATATCTGACCTTCTTGCATATTGTATTCTGTGTCTACTCTTTAGTTGAAGCTCTTCTGCCAACCAGCCCTGCCACCGACACCAATGAGGGGGGACAGATTGAGACAGGTAACCCAAAGTCCCACCAAGTGGCGATGATCGCACCAAAATTTGTTGTGCTTAGCCTAGTTATTTGCTCTTCAACTTTTCGTGCCTTCTTTTACGTTTTTGTAGAATGAGCTTGATCAGCCACAAGTCTATATCTGACCTTCTTGCATATTGTATTCTGTGTCTACTCTTTAGTTGAAGCTCTGCCAACCAGCCCTGCCACCGACACCAATGAGGGGGGACAGATTGAGACAGGTAACCCAAAGTCCCACCAAGTGGCGATGATCGCACCAAAATTTGTTGTGCTTAGCCTAGTTATTTGCTCTTCAACTTTTCTTGCCTTCTTTTACGTTTTTGTAGAATGAGCTTGAGCAGCCACACGTCTATATCTGACCTTCTTGCATATTGTATTCTGTGTCTACTCTTTAGTTGAAGCTCTTCTGCCAACCAGCCCTGCCACCGACACCAATGAGGGGGGACAGATTGAGACAGGTAACCCAAAGTCCCACCAAGTGGCGATGATCGCACCAAAATTTGTTGTGCTTAGCCTAGTTAATTCCTCTTCAACTTTTCGTGCCTTCTTTTACGTTTTTGTAGAATGAGCTTGAGCAGCCACAAGTCTATATCTGACCTTCTTGCATATTGTATTCTGTGTCTACTCTTTAGTTGAAGCTCTTCTGCCAACCAGCCCTGCCACCGACACCAATGAGGGGGGACAGATTGAGACAGGTAACCCAAAGTCCCACCAAGTGGCGATGATCGCACCAAAATTTGTTGTGCTTAGCCTAGTTAATTGCTCTTCAACTTTTCGTGCCTTCTTTTACGTTTTTGTAGAATGAGCTTGAGCAGCCACAAGTCTATATCTGACCTTCTTGCATATTGTATATTCTGTGTCTACTCTTTAGTTGAAGCTCTGCCAACCAGCCCTGCCACCGACACCAACAGGGGGGGGGATGACAAACCAACGAAAAGACGTCAAAGGACAAAAGGTGTACCTAATAAACTCAAAGCTGATATTCTGCCATATTTAACTTTATTCCCATTACGTTTGCTATTTAATTTGCTATGCAGGTCTCCGTTATGACATTAACATTATTGATGTACTTCATTTACATGTGAATTGTACGCATTATATCAATATGTGTTATGTCAAATATACCCCTCCCTCTTTACTGAGTTACAGGTCACAACAAATACTTCTAATCTGTGGACTGTTTTACAATAAGTTATATGATGTACTTTTGTTTTCTTTTTTTATGTTAACATTTGGATTAACATTTCTCAATTTGCTTATGATTCTAAACAGTTTCTAAAAAAGAAATGGATTGTCCCCACAACATCCAAGAGGTGCACGCATATAAATGCGTAATTAAAACAAGAAAGAGAAAGGTATTCCCATACATAATACAATTGCAAAGAAAACAATGGGTGATTTACCAATACTGATTGATCACTTGTTTTAATTGATAATGTCACTAATTGGCTAATGGCAGTAATTTAAAATTTGTACCAGTGATCCTACCAGATATTGTATTTGTTTATGTTGGTGTTTATGTTAAAAATTTATCTTGTAACACTCGACAAGACACCAGAGATAACTCACTCCCACATTCAGTATTCTCAGGGTGAACAAAATCAAGCCATGTTTTGTTATTGTTAGAGATTGTACCAAGCCCAGTATGTTTTCCTGCAGTCATTTACATTTTACATTTACATTTATTCATTTAGCTGACGCTTTTATCCAAAGTGACTTACAATTGCTATATATGTCAGAGGTCGCACGCCTCTGGAGCAACTAGGGGTTAAGTGTCTTGCTCAGGGACATAGGTGTCTCACAGTGGATTTGAACCCGGGTCTCTCACACCAAAGGCATGTGTCATATCCACTGCGCCATCACCACCCCTCTTATGCTCTAATTTATGGTGACTGAGCTGCACAAAATGACTGGAATGTTTTACAGCTCATAATGGGAATGGGAAGTGAGTGGACCATGAGGAGAATAGCTGAACATTACAAAAAGTGTCATACGTTTACAAAACGCTCTGAATGGCTAATACTACCTTTAAGTGTAACTAAATGATATGTAAAGTTGAGAGCAATGTTTATCTTAAGCAAGGTACCAATTTTATATGTCTTTGTTTGCCTTCCCAGGGGAAGACGGAGAAACTGATTGATTGGCTCCCCTGCAAACTGTGGTGTGTTGGTTGTCTTTCACACTAGATACAATTATCCACAAAATTACGGTTTTCCAGCAGACATACACATAACTTACAACAATCACATACTGTAGACTAGGCTACATGTACACACATACATTATCTCATAGAAGTGAGTGCACCCGTCACATTTTTGTACATTTTTTAATTTATCTTTTCTTTGGACACTTCGGGGTATACTCACTTTTGTTGCCAGCCGTTCAGACTTAAATGGCTTTGTATTGTCATTTTGAGTTATACAAGTTATACAAGCTGTACACTGACTACTTTACATTGTAGCAAAGTGTAATTTATTCAGGGTTGTCCCATGAGAAGAGAAATTAAAATATTGACTAAACTGCGGGTTGTACTCACTTCTGTGAGATACTGTAGAGCACAACTCAGTCTATATATTGTAACACACCTTTATATGTGCTTCCTTATTGGATGTGCAGTATGTGTTTGGAAATTGGTGGAAGAGTGTTGTCTGGAGTGATTTTAAGTTATTAACTATTGTTAATGCAGAAATGTAGTTCTTTTTTGTAACGTTATGCACACCATAATCCATGCTTGCATATCTGTTTGATCTAATTTATGCTATTTTAATATTGTTTTTGTTCATTTATGACAACTTTTAATTGTCATTCTGTCATTATTGGCATTCTGAAGTAGTAAAGATGGTTATTTGAAAATGTTGATGCCAGTGTTGTAGTCGAGACCACCTCACTCGAGTCCGAGTCGAGACCGAGTCCATAGAGAGTCGAGTCCGAGTCGAGACCGAGACCAGTGAGGTTGACTACCTAATGTAATTTTATTTACTTAGAGAAATCTTTTTTTTTATTTTTATTTTTTTTTTACTGATTTTACTTTGATTTTACTGAGTTTAAAAATATGATCAGTTTAGGGTAAAAAGGCCACATAGTAGGTGTGTTAAAAGTAATTTTATTACAATTTGTCATGCGTAGTTGCGCACTAGAAAATCACCAATCACTGGGCGTGTCAATCAATTTAAAGAAATATTTTATTAACATACATTAATAATCATGAAAAATATTTTTAATTGAACTCTAATGGATTAGGGAATAAGTCTGAGTCCTAAAAAAAAAAATGTTCGAGTACGAGTCAATTCCGAGTCCAAATGCACACGAGTCCATGACAAGACCAAGACCATTAAAATATGGTCTCGAGACCGAGTCCGACTCTCGAGTACTACAACACTGGTTGATGCTGTAACATTTTGTAAATTCAGAGTGTCAGGTGCTAGTTTTTATATTCCATACTGTGGATTATTCAGATCTTTGATTAGTTGTTACATTGTGCATTTTTTTTTTTATGAAATATGCTTGACCAGCTGTCCCCTTTCTAACTAAACACCATTTTCTGTTTTTCAATATACACCAAATTTTGTCACCATTGGTGCCATTTCATATACAAATTCACCATAGTGTTTTTAATTGGTGTTATTATGACATTGGTTGATCTAAATGTCCCT